TGTATTGATGGTCGCAGTTCAGCACATTGAGCACCAAATTTAGCCAACGCCGTTACAGCCGCTGCGCGAACCTCACAAGAACAAACATTTTTTTTTTTGAAATTCAATAACTACTTCACCACAAACCTTAGTGCTTTCTAAGATAACACGGTTGTAGATAAATCTAATGTAACTTGACGGATTTGGTGTTTTAGGCGCTTCTCTACCAAGAAGATGTAGCACTCTCGTGGCTAGACTATCGTGCTCACAGTCCTCGATGAATTCGCACAAATGAGCGAGACCTTGAAGACATATTTTTACGAATATTGAGCATAATAAGAAAAACGCTTTGAGTAATATACGTATTATGTTTTCTTTCTCTTAGAGTCAAATTTTTGCAGTAACAGACAAACTATGAAGCTTACCCGCAGTTTTGGCATCTGGGTTTTCTTCAACTATAGCGATGATTGTCTCAACAATCGCTTTTTTGTACTCGTAACCTCCATCGTTTCTCAAATTGTTTATTAAAAAAGCGTTCCTGTACAACAAACTTGTCAAAAAGAAAATATTCTACCGAAGCATGTTTGCAAGGAATGGCATCATCACTGCATGCTTTCTCGGATAACGGGCACATAGTGAACGAATGGCGTCAACAACAACTATCTGAAGTTTATTTCATTAGAACTGATAGTTAACCATAGATCCGACGATAACTATTCACGCAAAAAACAGATTTGTTAACAAAGTCACAAAATTGATAAAACAACGCCCATTATTACTCGTGAGCAAAACGAGGAAGAAAGAACATTTTCAAGAAACATTACTGTCATCTTGACTAAATCCAAACTTTTCGCGAAATTCAAACACTATTCTCTGTTGTCAGCCATATTCACGTGTTAAAGTGAAAAAGCAGTGTTTATCGATGCCTTTTGACAAGCAGTTCTGCTATCACTAGCGCACCCAAATTACTGACTAAACTCACCTTGAACTCATCACTAATCTCTGACACAAAAGAACTGATCTGCTTCATTAATCTCTCTACACTACTTTCAGCACCCGTTTTCAGGAGGGTAGTGATGGCGAGGGTTGCAATTGATCTGAAAAGAAACC